GGGGGCGACCATTTTTACCCTGATTCTAAGAGATGTCAAAAGTCGCCAGAGAACAAAAGCTCAAAAAAGGGTTTGCACTGACCCCAACCCCCAACAGGGGGCAGGGCAACTCTGCCCAAGCAGGGTTGCCTGAGAAACAGTGTGGAAGACCCCTTCCCCAGAAGACAGGCTGGAAGAACAAGAGGACGACCACCCTAGGGTCCCTACAAAACAGGTGCATCTTGATTGGGTGGTAGTTAATACTTTGGACTCTGTACATTCCCTCAAACACCCTCCAACAGAATGAATAATAGGAGGAACCCCAAACAAAGAAAAGAACCAGAGACTGTGGCCTCTGCCACAGACCTAATGGTTGTGAATATAAGCAAGATGTCAGAGATAGACTTCTGAGTAGCAATTATGAAGTCAATATCTAGGCTTGAGAAAAATATTAGCAGCAATATAGAATCTCTAAGGGCAGAAATGAGATCTAATCAGGCCGAACTTAAAAATGGTATAAATGAGATGCAGTCTAAACTGGATGCCCTGACAGGCAAGGTAAAGGAGGCAGAAAAATGAATTAGTGAGCTAGAAGATATGATGATAGAAAAGAAGGATGTGAAGGAGGCCTGGGATAAACTCATGAAAGCCCAAGAGATAAGATTGTATATATGATGCACAGCCTCTTTCTTTATTTATTCTAATTTATGAGAGAGATTAATGATGCGTGAAACATTCCAATGTCAGAATTATTAGGATCCCTGAGGGGGTGGATAGAAAGAGAGAACTAGAAGATTTTTTGAGAAAATTGTAGCTGCAAACTTCTATATTCGGGAAGGAAACAAGCATTCATGTCCAAGAGGCAGAGATGACCTCCCCCACATTCAAAGAGAACAGATCAATGCCTCAACATATAATAGTAAAACTTGCACAACTTAGAACCAAGGAAGCAATATTGAAAGCAGCTTTGGGGAAGAGATTTCTTACATATGGAGGGATAAACATTAGAAAATCATCAGACCTGTCCACAGAGACCTGGCAAACCAGAAAGGGATGGCAAGACATATTCAGGGTACTAAATGAGAAGACCATGCAGCCAAGGATATTTTATCCAGCAAGGCTGCCATTCAGAATGGATGTAGAGACGAGGAGTTTTCAGGACTGGCAGAAACTGAAAGAATATGTGACCACCAAGCCAGCCCTGCAAAAAATATTAAGGGGGTTTCTATAAAAGGGAAGACCCCAAGAGCAGTATAGACTAGAAATATACAAAGACAGTCTATAGAAACAGGGACTTCACAGGTAACAGGATGGCATTAAAATAGTATCTTTCAATAGTCACTCTCAATGTGAGTGGCCTAAATGCTCCCATGAAACAGCACAGAGTTGCAGACTGGATAAAAAGACAGGACCCATCCATATGCTGCCTACAAGAGTCTCATTTTGAACCTAAAGATAGATCCGGACTGAAAGTGAAGGGATAGAGAACCATTTTTCAAGCCAGCGGACCTCAAAATATAGCTGGGGTAGCAATTCTTATATCAGACAAATTAGATTGTAAGCCAAAGACTGTAGTTAGAGATACAGAAGGACACTATATCATTCTTAAAGGGTCTATCCAACAAAAAGATCTAAAAATTGTAAATATCTATGCCCCCAAAATGGGAGCAGCCATCTACATAAGCCAACTGTTAACCAAAATAAAGAATCATTGGTAATAATACTTTAATAGGAGGAGACCTCAACACTCCACTCTCGGCAATAGACAGATCATCTATGCAGAAGATCAACAAAGAGACAAGAGCTTTGAAGGACACATCGTACCAGATGGACTTCAAAGATATATACAGAACATTCCACCCTAAAACAACACAATACTCATTTTTCTTGTATGCACATGGAACCCTCTCCAGAATAAGATACCACATACTGGGTCACAACACAGGTCTCAACTGATAACAAAAGACTGAGATAATTCCCTGAATATTTTCAGACCACAATGCTTTGAACTTGGAACTCAATCACAAGAAAAAATTGGAAAGAATTCAAACACTTGGAAGCTAAAGACCATCCTGCTAAAGAATGATAGGGTCAAACAGGAAATTAAAGAAGAACATAATCAATTCATGGAAACTAATGAAAATGAAATCACACTGGTCCAAAAACCTATGGGATATTGCAAAGGTGGTCCAAAGGGGGAAATACATAGCCATCCAAGCCTCACTCAAAGAAGGGGAACATGCACCCCAATGTTCATAGCAGCAATGTCCACAATAGCCAAACTGTGGAAGGAGCTGAGATGCCCTTCAATGGGTAAATGGATAAAGAAGCTGTGCTCATATATACAATGGAATATTATTCAGCCTTCAGAATGGATGAATACTCATCATTTGCGTCAATATGGATAGAACTGAAGGGGACTATGCTAAGTTAAATAAGTCAAGAAGAGAAAGTCAATTATCATATGGTTTCACTCATATTTGGAACAGAAAGAATAGCATGAAGGACATTAGGAGAAGGAAGGGAAAAATGAAGTGGGGGAAATAAGAGGGGGAGACAAACCATGAGAGACTATGAACCAGGAAACAAAATGAGGGTTTCAGAGGGGAGGTGGGAGGGGAATGGGGTAGCCTGGTGATGGGCATTTAGGAGGGCACGTGTTGTAATGAGCACTGAGTGTTATATGCAAATAATGAATCACTGAACAGTACTACATCAAAAACTACTGATGTTTATACACGAACAATGAATCATGGAACACAATATCAACTAATGATGTACTGTATGGTGACTAACATAACATAAAAAATAAATATAAAAAAACTAATGATGTACTCTATGGTGACTAACATAATAAAAATAAAAAATAATTAAAAAGGAAGGTTTATATAATGGGGAAAAAAGAAAGTAAAAAATGCATGTTCTATAAGAAAAATGGTCTTCTGAGGAGTGTAAGGTTTAATTGGGTTGGGAAAGAAAGAAAAAAAATGTTTCAGTAATCGATATTTAAGAAGATTGAATGAAGGCAGCAATCTTCATGAAAGAGTATGTTTATACAATATTTTATTTGCAATAATAGCAAGAGGACTCAAATAAACATATACAAGAAGGAATTCATAACATACGGGATAACTATCTAAAAGACTCTAAATTAGTGCAAGACACTATAAACCAGCTTGGCCTGGCATACACAGATCGATACTCTGACAACTCTTTTTTTTTTCTAATTTTATTTTATTATGTTATATTACTCACCATACATTACATCATTAGTTTTTGATGTGGTGTTCCATGATTCACTGTTTACATATAACACCCAGTGCTCCATGCAGAATGTGACCTCTTTAATACCCATCACCAGGCTAACCCATCCTCCCACTGCCCTCCCCTCTAGAACCAGAGTCCATAGTCTCTCATGGTTCATCTCCCCCTCCAATTTCCCCCCTTCATTTTTCCCTTCCTATTATGTTCTCTTTTTTTAAACGTACAATCTAGTATTTGTTTCAAAGGAACAGGTCTGTAATTCATCAGTCTTACACAATTCACAGTGTTTACCATAACACACACCCTCCCCAAAGTCTATCACCCAGCTACTCTATCCCTCCCACCCCCCACCACTCCAGCAACCCTCAGCTTGTTTCTTGAGATTAAGAATTCCTCATATCAACGGGATCATATGATACATGTCTTTCTCTGTTTGACTTAAGTCGCTTAGCATAATACCTTCTAGTTCCATCCACGTCATTGCAAACGGCAAGATTTCATTTTTTTTCTGAGGGCTACATAATATTCCATTGTATATATACCACATCTTCTTCCTCCATTCATCTGTTGATGGACACCTTGGTTCTTTCCATAGTTTGGCTATTGTGGAAATTACTGACAACTCTTATACACAGAAAGAGAAGAAACTGAAGGTGTCAATGAGATTTAAACTTTTCATCCAGCCACAAAAGGAGAGAGATTCAAATCCAAATGCAGGTGTTGTTGATTAGGAACTTCTAGATGCCAAGCTGTCGCCTTGGCCCATAAGAGATGTGCCAGCAGAGGAACCAGGTGGATGTGAGGTCGGGAGGAAAGGGTACAAAGCCTCTGAGTCAGAAGAGGTGGTTTGCCACACACACTCATGTGTGCAAACCCACAAGCAACTAAGAGTGTCGACCAAACCACCCCACATACATGGCGATGGCCAACTCCGCAATTTCCCTCTCACGTGCCGCCTATCTAAGCTGACTGATTTCAGTGTCCTGCCTGGCTCCACACCTGTAGCTTCACAAGCTGCCTGGGAGCTGCCATGATGTCATCAGAATCGGGTTCTCCAGATATGGAGGACATCTAGACACCAAACTATGTGGCTAACCAGTCCTGATTGGCAGGGGGAATGTTGAAAATACCAGGGCACTTACAAAATCAAAATTTAAAAAAAAAGAAGCAATACCAAAAAAATAAATATAAAAATGAAGGGGAAAAACAAAAACATGCAAATGAAAAATGACGAAAATTCCAATACATAAAAAATAAATGTAAACAAAGAAAAGAAAGATAGAAAACAATGTAATGCAAGACAAGGAAACTTAATTAGGAGGCTCGTCTTGGGTGGCCAAAGGTGATTCAAGTTCCACACCCACATGCCAGAATCTGAAGTGATTGTCGAAGGGCCTTCACCCAGTCCGGTCCTACACAGAGTCCCAGAGTCTCAACACTACGATTTGGTGTCAGGGCTGTAATCCTGGAGAAAAGCTAGTGGGAGTGGGAAAGGCACATTGCATCCAGAGGAGAGGGGACGGGGCACATCCACCTGCCCAGGGCAAGCACTTGGCTCAGGTAGTCCCAATGTCCTCCTGAAGACCTCTTCCGCCAAAGGTCTGAGCCACTGAAGGCAGGGCTACCACAGGAAGCTGTTGAAATGATTGGGGGTGGGACATCCAGGGGTGGGCCATCCCAGGCATTGATAAGTCCCATGCTCCGGGTCCTGTCCAGTCGACCGGTCAGTGCTCTGGAACCCAAGTGACTCCATCGGCATGGCTCCCACCAGCACATCAAGGAGTAAGTTTCCATCCAGTGCCCTGCTCCCTGCTTACATTCCCCAAAGTCCCTGATAATTTTCCAGGGTTTGGGAAAGTAGAAGGGACCACCTCGATTGCCCGCACACATGCTGGAGGGATTGTGATCCAGGGAGGATTGGGGGAAGGGGATAGAGAGAGGCTTGCATATGGCTGCCATCAGAATGAAAACTGAAGTTGGTGGCCAGGATTCCCAACAAGAGTCCCGCTTTTGCAAATAGGCAAGCTAGATCTCAGGTGGCAGAGAACGGGAAAAGATTCAGCATCTATTTCAGGTGTCATTTACAAAAAGAGAACTTTCACCTCATGGACCAGCACTTAGGATATGTTGTCAGAGTTGACCTTGATGTTTTTTAGGAGCAGTGGGTACTCTTTGTTTCTCCTAAGGTGCTTTCACCTCTTCACCTCCACCGCGGCTTTCCTCAATTTATTGGCATGCCATTACATGGTTTGCTAGCAGTTGGTATTTCCCTAGATCCTTGCCTATCACCCATTCCCATAGGGAGATGGCGACTGCCTGTGTCTTATTGAGCAGTCCCTTAGTTGGATCCATGAATGGCAAAGGCACAGGAAGCCCCGGCCTGGGAAGGTGTCCACAGGGCAGAAAGTGAAGAGCTGAGACCGCCCCACCGGTTTGCATTCCTATGAAAGCCTTCCTAATATGGTTGTAATTTTCCCTGCAACAGGCTTCCTCCCATGCGGATCCCGACGGAGGCGGCTTGTTTTGAAACAAACGCAGCAAGGGGCTCTGCAAGCATTGTTCCAGCAGAACCCATACCCAGGCATTGCCACCAGAGAAAGACTGGCCCGAGAGCTAGACATTCCAGAATCCAGGATCCAGGTAGGTTTCAGCTTCACTTGCATTTTCCCTGGGCAACAAGTCACGGACACAATCAGGCCCAAGCCACTGCATGTAAATCTACATGCTAAGCTGGGGAGCTCAGAAGCTTTGGCCCCTGTATGTGCAACTCTGTTGAGCCCATGGCCCTTTGAAGTCATTCCAAGTCATTCAGTTGTGGAACCCAGGTACCATTGGAGCACAAGGCCTGGGACATTCCAACAGGTCAACACGTCTTCATTGATTTTCCCTAGAGATCATTTGTCCAGAGTTATTGCAGGGTCCACACAAAACACTCTGAGACCTTAGGTATGAGAAAAAAAAATGTGTATATATATGGATCATGCCCACCAGGGTGCCTGACCATCGGTTCTTCTTTTGCCATTTAGGTGTGGTTCCAGAACCAGCGAACAAGACAGCTAAGACAGAGCCGACTGGGGTCTGCCAAATCCCACAGGGAAGGGCCATCACATGGACAGGAACAGCCTCCAGCTTGGACTCAAGGTGACTCCCCAGCATACCAAATGGGTCTCTTCATAAGCTTCTCCTTGACACAGGAATGGGTATGCATGGGCTTGCCATGTGTTTGGCAAGAAGGCTTAGCAGAGGAACCCATGCCCACTGGTTCCAGCTGCCTTTCTGTTCCCAGAGATGGACACTGTGCATGCACCTCCTGTTGGGTGGTGCTTTGAATCTTCTTGTCCTGAAACTGTAGGAAGGACAGAGTCCTCTTCTGGGGTCACCTCAGACTTTAGATCCAAGCTTGTTTCGGTGGGTCCATGGTGACATCAGTGAAGTCAGGGAAGGAGAGGCTATAGAGAAAATGGAGAAGCATGCAAACACACACACACACACACACACACACACACACACACTCATGCATGCACATGGACACCAATTTCTCTTTCTACATTGGATGTGCCATTGGCTTCAAAGCCGTCCTTTCTAACTCTGTTCTCTTTTTAGAACGTTTCCCAAAGGAAGGCAGGAGAAAACGGACATCCATTTCTCCATCCCAAACCAGTATCCTCCTTCAAGCCTTTGAGAAGAACCGCTTTCCGAACATTGCTACCAGGGAACACCTGGCCAGACTCACAGGTCTTCCAGAATCCCGCATTCAGGTACATTTTCAGAGCGTGGCCGTGAGTTCTTCAACATGGAAGGGATAGTGGCACCTGAGACGTTGCTGGGGAATCGTGGGCTCCTTTGAGTTATCCACAGGATCCAGTGCCCAGGCAATGGGAGGAAAGTGTTGAACTTGCAAGTGAGAGACCGCCCAAGGAAGAATTTCCAAACCAAATGATGGGGGGAGTTGGCAGCATACATGCGTGTAGAAATGGTGAGCAGACAAAAGAGGGGAAACGGAAACATTGGCACCTATCTAGAGATCGCACAAACTGTCAGCGCTTGAGCAGCTTAGTAGCGCTATCCATTTGGCCCTCAGGATTTCCTGAGTGTGAGTAGGGTTGCTGTCCTGTGTGTGGCAACGTGTTTGTCAGTGTCCGGGGCCTCAGGACCTCAGGGCAGGAATGGATTCTGCCCTCAAACCACACCTTCTCTGGATAACCTAATCATCCAGGATTATTGGCCCAAGGATTATTGTCAAGTGGGCGAGAGGTCCCATGTGCCCTGGTTGAGAAGGCTCTGCAGAGAGTGGTTCCTGATATAGGAGTTGTGAAACGCCCTTGTGGTATATGGAGGCAGACTCTCTGGAAGCCTCTCCTTTGGGACGAGAGCCAGTGACCGTGCTTCAAGCAGGCCTTCATGGGCCTGTACTTTGACAAGTCTTGTCCCCGGACAGAGGGGAAGATCAACGTGCTCATTCCTGAGAATTCCTCTTCTCATGTAGCAAACGGAGGAGAGGGAGAGCCAAATCCGAATGCGAGTGTTGTTGATGTGGATTCCTGGCTGCCCATGCCCTCCTCTAGACCCATAAGAGATGTGCCTGTAGACTTACCTATTGTGGATGTGAGGCCAGGAGGCATGGGTTGAAGGACTGCAAGTCAGAGTTGGTGGTTTGCCATTGGGATTACACCCAATCAGACACCGGGGCAGGGAAAGGTGTTGAGGGATGCCCTGAGACATTCCTGAGGACTTGGAGTAGCCTGGGGAAGGAGGGGCAGGTGGTCAGCTATGTCTTTGTCCCAGGACTCCTGGAATGGCTTGTCAGAAAGCTGCAACTGGCAATCAAAGAGAGGGCAAGGTAGGGACTGAACAGCAGGCAGAGCAGAGCTGAGCGCCTGCCATTCAAGCCTATCAAGGGGGGATGGCCTCCAGGCCAGGGGTGCAGTTTCCCTGGGTGGTCACCTAGTTTCCAAGGGCCAGGTGAAAATTATGGACAGAGTTCCCCTGAGATTCAGACCAAGAGTCCTGGCCTTCTCCCCAAAAGATCCCATGTGGGGGTAGGGGGGAAAGCAGAGCTGACATCTTTCCCTTCTTCTCATGTCCACGACATCTCTTCTCTGTCCCAGGTCTGGTTCCAGAACAGAAGAGCTCGGCACCCAGGGCAGAGAAGAAGTGGCCCCATGAAGGACCTGGAAGCACACCCCAAACCCAGTCCTCATGTGACAGTCCCAGGGGAACCAGGCCCCCTGGCTGGTGTCCCCGTAAGCTCTCCTCAAATGGCTCTGTCCAATCCTCTGGGAAGCAGGCAGGCCCTTGCTGCAGGGACACCTCCCATTCCCTGCATGGGCTTTGCCCCTCCAGCTTTCTGTGGGGGCCCTGGGAGCCAGGTCCTGGGGGCCATGATGGTCCCGCCCACCCAAGGTGGGCAGGGAGGAAACAACTTTCCTGCTGCTGAAGGCCTGAGGAACCGTTCCTTGACAGCACCGACTCTGGGAGGGTGTCTCCCCACTCGACACACTCTTCTTTGCCCCCCGTCTCAAGGGGAATACCAGCAGCAACATGAGCACCCTGGCATGGCACCCCTGCCCTTCCAAGACTACGCCCAGCTTCCAGCTGACCATCCTTGCCAACACTTGCAGGAGGCAGGGCCCTCCGGGAGCAACTGCACCGCACAGTGCTGGAGCGATGGGTCCCAGCTCGTCATCGGCACAGGACAGGCTCAGGATGGGGCAGTTCTGCAGCCTGCACATGCTGAGACCCCTGGCTGGCAGCAGCAGGCACATCCTACTGCAGGGCTGTCGGCTGTGCTCAACTCACAGCACCAACCCTCTGCAGAAGCCTCAAGTTTTTTAGAGGAACTTTTCTCAGCCACAGACATGGAAGAAGACACACACCCTTTTCTGAGTGGGCGTCTGCCACAAGAGGACGCTCCGGGACCCCTGGAAGCACCTCTCAGCGAGGAGGAGTTTCAGGCCCTGCTGGCCATGCTGCATGATTCCACATGGCCTCAGGACTAGGAGCAGAAAGGCCTCGTCCTCCCCACCCCCCACTCATTCAGACATCCTTCCTGAGATACGTCCTAGCAGGTCAGAAAGGAGGAGGAACAGGCAGCACTGTTCATGTTCCAGAGGAAGACCGACACCCAAAGCAGCATCCATCACTTGGAAAGACAGAAGAAGGATGTCCTCTCTGCCCTGTGGGCAGGCCTCCATTGCCTTCCCGATAAGCACCAAGCTCCACAAAGCCTCTGAAGGCACCGTGGGCACCGGGCAATGGGCACCCTCCCCGACACCTGATTGATCCAAAGCACTGTCAGGACACACGTGACCTCCTCTCTGCCATCACCCTTTCCTCTGTAGACTGGGAAACCCTGGCCCTGGCAGCCAAACCAAGCAAGGAGGAGAGATCGAAGAAGAACACCTCCACATGCCTTTTCCTCCTGCCCAGTCAGAAAGTCCTGTCTCCAGGAGCTGAATGTGTAGACCAAGACAGGACATTACACATCCTGACCATGGGAGCCCAGGGTCACAAATCCATCCTGGCTGAGATAGGCTGGGAACCAGCGAAACAGGAAGCGACTGCAGTCTCCCATCTCTGAGTGATCCTGTCCCAGCCGAAGTCTGGAATGCCCTGGGGCCTTTGCCTGGCATCTTTGCCATGCAAAGATGAGCATGGGGGGAGCCTTTCCAAAGAACACAAAATGGCAGCACGAAGGGTCACAGCCACTCTCAGCAGGCATTCCAGAAAGGGTACCACTGTGGCTCATTCCACAAAATTAGCATTTGTTTTCTCTTTTCTTAGTATGTATCCGCATGCCTCTCTACCCACAGTGTTCCTTCGCTTCACAGGAAGAAAGAAGATGTTCCCAGTCAGCCTCTTGGTGGCCTTCTGTCAGCAGGGTCACCTCTCTCCCTTGCAAGGGCTAACTTGGAGGAAATCCATCCTGGAATCTCAAGCTTGAGGGGACAATCCTTTGGTCCAATAAACCTATTTTTGCCTCCCCAATGTGATCTCTTGGTTGTGATTTGTTCCATTTCCCTCCTGTCCTCTCATGCCTGCCAATCTTCAGAGATGTGAGATGCTTCCTGGTCCTGGGACCAGCTGTGGAAGCCATTGGTATGCCCAAGTCCTGTTCACAGCTTTGGGCACAGACAACCTCATGGGGCAGCACTAATACTTCCTGGCGGTCATCAAGCTTCACCTGGATTGACGGTGCCTGATGGGCAAGCATTCCTCCAGGGGATGTAGGTTGAACCCAAGTGTCAGACAGTCCATGCACATTGTATTTGACCCCACTGTTCTCAGCAGTGGCCAAATTCATACCTAAGGCTCATCCTACTATGCTGGCAATGAATCTCCTTGTCTCTATTTCTTCAGATCTCTGTCTCTATGGGTCTATCTCTCCCGCTTTATCTCGCTTTCTCTCACAAGCAGGCACACACAGATGTCCACACTGTCAGAGCATCATGCTTATGCAACTCACAGTATGGGCACTGAAACTCCAGAAAGGATTGTGGGTCAAAACATTTGGAAGAATAAGGTGGGTATTGGAGGGTTTTTTTCCTTGGGGTTTTATTCTGCCCCTACCTAACTGCCACATGCCCTGGGAGAGGTTAGACTGTGGATTTGGTCATTTGAGCCCCCCCCCCTGCCATGTCCAACACGTCTGTGTTGCAAGGGGAAAGGAACCAAAGAATTCCTATCTTGGTCGCTTCTATCCAAATAGATCTCTATCTCTATCCACGTTCTCATATGCAGAAATATATCTGTATCTCATGTCTCCATGCTTCCAGACCCATGGGTGGATTGTTTGTATCTCTCCATAGATATAGCTTGTGATAGAAGCCCTCTGCATCTCTCTTGCCCTAGTGTGTCATTCTTCCAGTTCGCTCTATGGACACATCTACCTGTAGCTTCGGTAGACAGAGTGGAAGGGTCTGTCTCTCTCCCGGAACAGAGTGGGTTAGAATGTCTGAAAGGTTCCTGGCCAAGGTGGCCTTGGGACAGACCAGGCTTTCGTTCTGTCTAGAGAAGCCACGTGGAAGGATGGCTCACTTGCAGTGTTGGGAAGACTGTGGTCTGATCTGAGAGTGTCTGGGAGGTCTCTGGAGCCTTGGGGTTGGCACTTCTGCACATAGGACATGGAGGGAAAAATGGGGCTACAGCCACATTGGGGTCCAAGGCCAGCCAGGCCAGAGGAGTCTCAAGTCCAGACTTCAGCCCTGGAGCCTGTCCTGTCAATGGGTGGCCTGCTCCATCCATATAGGTGAGCTTTCAGGGCCCTGGCACGTGTACAACATGGAGCCACCACTCTGGGAAATCACCTGCCAGAGAAGGTGTCCACGTGGAAGCTGGCAGGAGTCCACCAGCTAGCAGGCTGTTGCTCAAGGCCTTGGAGGCCAAGACCCCAGGGGCTGTGATCTGCAAGGACATCCTCACACAACTGTGCCCCCCCTGGGATCCCTCAATGTGATCCTCTTGCCCTCAGATCACCCTGGCCTGGGAATGAGGGATCAAGAACAGGACCCACGTGTCTGCAAGACATCTTCTTGGGGCTTGAAGACTGCTCCCAGTCTTGGTGAGAGTCAACCTCAGGCACTGCCTGGCGACCACCTACACTGTAGGGACAGAGCAGTCCATAAAAGCAACACAGAGCCATGCCAGTGGTCATTTGCCCTGAGCAGCTCCAATCAGGACTCGGCACTTGGACCATCTCAGGGGATTTACGCTTTCCTGAGAGGCACTGTGTTGAGGACGCTGCCCCCAGAAAATGTGTAAGGCACCCTCTGTGGAGGCCCTCTGCCCACGCCTCTCCTCATGCTACAAGCCACCACTTGGACAAGCCCAGCCAGAAACGGACATTGGAGAGACACCAACCACCTGGTCAAGGCTGCAACCCTGGGCCTTCCAGGAGACGCATTCCCTCTCTTTTTGTAGATGCTCTTTCCTTGACCTAAAGCCACTGGTTTCGCTGTCACCGAAACACAAGCACACACCAGAAAACCCTCAGACACACACACACTTACCCTACAATTAGTGATTGCTAATGGACTGCCTTCAAGTCATGGGAGAATGAGTCCCTTCACCACCTATTTCTACTGGGTTCCACTTGTCTCCCTGTAGTACACCTGATGGACTTTCAGAGCCCTACAGCCAAAAGGATACAGGAGGGGAATTTGGGCCTGTGTTTGACATTTTCTGTTGGATTGCTGGTAGGTTGTTTGCTTGCTTGGTCGTTTGGCTGGCTGGTTTCCTAACTGGCTGGCACTGGGAGTCCATTGAAATGCTTGACTCATCGCCCTTTCCACTGGATCTTCCTTTCAAACACTGAAGGGACTTTTACCATGGAAGGGGGGTTGGTTACTTTGGAAGCACACACACA